GGGGGGGGGCACTTAAAATTCTACAATGAGTCTTTGAAGACTGAATTTAACACTCAAAATGTGCTGTGACACTAATGCAAGACCTGAGCCACCAGTGAGGGTGCAGGATAGAAATGTCGGGCTGCAGAGGTGGCTTCAGAAACATGCATTTCCAGGGCGCTTGCTTCCTGTGGGGCCCCACGCGAGGAGGAGGGAAACTCAGCCCAAACAGAACTGCTCCTTCCTGTGCTCACACAGGAGGCGGACATGCAGCTTCCAGCATTTCTCAGACCCAGTAAATGTTATTTCAAGAGAGAGAAAAAGAATAATGCTTTTTAAAAGAATTGTCTGGTAACACCAAAGAAGGTGTAAGAGAAATCGTTAAGAAGACCAGCTCCAGGGCCAAATTGGCAAAATTCAGGTCTCCACTGCCCATCTAGTAGCTGTGCCCCTCTCGTGTCCTCCCCTGTCCCAGTGTCCACTTCTGTAGAGTGAGGACAGTTGCAGCACTTCATTCATAGGCTGTTGTGAGATGTAAACAAGTTAACCCACGGACAGCACTTGGAAGAGTGCCTGCTAAGTATGCAGTTCGTGTTGCTGTTACCAGCCTGTTCACTAGCACATATACCTTCTTTTTAGGTACAGGTGGGACCATATGATAGTGCTGCTCTTCTACTTGCTATGGCCAAGTCATAGCACATCTTAGACACTTTTCTAGATCACCTTTTTAACCATTTACTTTAGTGTCCTAAAAAATCTGATTCAATTTTAAAAAGGTTAAATCAGTAACTAAACCTGAATTATATTTTTATAGCATGAAGTGAAAGGCAGAACTATTATAAAATTAATCTGAACACCGCAGCCTTAAGTGATCTAACAAAATATTTACTATCCCTTTGCCTAATTTTGTCTTCCAGGTCTGCCTTAATAACTTTTCCAGCCTCGAATATGAGTTTCGATATTTCTGCATAAAGACAACCACAGGTGGTGGTACTTTAAGTAATACTGTTAGGATCATATGGCATCTTTCAAACCCGTAGAAACTAACAGTGGTCACTCGAAAGACATTCATTTTTGGCCTATTCAGGGACTTACTAATCACATACATTCCTAACATTTGCTTAGCAGATAATAATTAAATTGAACTTAGTGAAGATTTAAGATTAAATTCAAGATTAAAGAGTACAAGAATTCCTCAAAATATAGTTTCTAAATAAAACTAAAGTAGGAAGTTTCAGAGCTGGTGCACCAGACTGTCTTGTTGAACCCTAAATCATTCATCAGAAATTATTCAAAGATGGATAATGTTTATGCTTCCTGATTTTATCTCAGCTAAAATTAAGAGAATCTATAGCAATAAAAATTGTTTAAATTTTGAGAAATTATTCTCCAATAAAGGCCATTTAAATCAAAGAATTTGTTATTCATTCTCTCAATAGGTGCTTGTGGAATGAATTTAAAACCCAGAAAAAAGAAGATAAAGGAGTTTTAAATAGCCCTACTCAATGACAAAAAGGTACAGTGTCATCATTTTAAAAAATAGCTACCACGTATCGAGCACCTACTGTGTGCCAGACATGGTGCTTTAATACTTACTGTAACTACAGTCATATCTTATGTGGTCATGGCAACAATTCTAGAAGCTACACAGTACAATGCCCATTTTACTGAGGAGGAAATTTAAACTTGGAGAGATTGTGTATATTGCTCCTGGTCAAAAAGCTAATGGTAGAGCCCATGCTTTCCAAGATGGGATGGTTTAAATTAACCAATGTTTTGTGAGTATTTATTGAGTGTCTATTATGTTCAAGGCAATCCCAGGCACTGTAAAGGATATGAAAATGCTTGCAACAGATTTTGGCACCCAGAAGCCCTTAAGAGAGTTAAAATAATACTCTTGCTGTAAAGTGTTAGAATAAATAAACTAAAACAGCTGAGAGAGAAGAGGAAAAGAGGAGGAGAGGAGGGGAGGGGAAGGCAGGAGAGGAGGGGAGGGGAG